GCACACACGCACACACGCACACACGCACACACGCACACACGCACACACGCACACACGCACACACCCACACACCCACACACCCACACACCCACACACCCACACACACACACACACACGCACACACACGCACACACACGCACACACACGCACACACACGCACACACACACACATATATGGGGATGGCGACGGGGGGACGCTGGAAGGATGAAGGGGCCGATGCAAGAAAGGTTAACGAGTTTATTGATGAAGATGAATATGAATATGCCTATGACGATGATATAGATGATGATGAAGATTATGGTGACGATCAAGGCGATTCCGTTGTTGATGATGGTGACGTTGATGATGATGATGAGGTTGTTGTTACTGGTTGTGAATGTGACGGTGGTAATGCTAATGATGATGATTAAGATGATACTGCTGATGCTGATGCTGATGCTGCTGCTGATGATGCTGCTGCTGATGCTGATGTTGCGCTGATGCTGCTAATGATTTGTTGCTCAGAACGTTCCGCAAAACGCTGCCCGGAACATTCTGGGATGACGGGCTGCTTCCACGTCTGGCCTGGCCGCTGCCGCCGGGCCAGCCAAGCCAGCTCCCTCTGCCGCCTGGCCGCCGTCCGCCAGCGCGGGGGCACCCGCGGCAAGGCCAGCGGCCGCGCAAGCGCTGGCGGCGCCCGCGGGGGGCCGCGCCCTCGGCGACCTGGAGCCGGAGCTGAAGTCGCCGAAGACGTCCGCCATGGGGTCCGTCTCGGTCACCGCGGCCGCCGCTGCCACCGCCGCGGCCGCCACGGCGGAGAGCGCTGGCGGAGCCGAGCCCGCTGCAGCAGGCGCGAGCGCGGCCTCGGCGCCGCCCTCCGCGCCCCCGTCGCCCTCGCCATCCCTGGGGTCGCCAGCCAGCAGAGAATCGCTGGTGACGCCAGGAGGACCCGCAGGGACGGCGAGGGCGGGCGGGGCGGCCAGGGCTGGTGACCGGGGCTGCCGAGCGGCCACTGCCGCAGCCACCGCCGTGGGCAGGACGGCGGCCGCCTCCTCCGCACGAGCGGGCGGGCAGGCCGCCGCCATGCGCGCGGCGCGCTTCCAGATTTGCACCCCGATGGCGCCGCGCGCGGGCCCGCAGCTCGAGGTCCTGGGGGCGTGCGGCCCCGTGGCGCCTGGCCTCGGAATGGGCCATGGAGCGCGCCGCGGCCGTGGCGTCGGTGTGCGGCCGCCCCCAGCAGCTCCACACCACGAGGCAGTGCCCGACGCCATCCTCCGCCAGCTCCCTCAAGTACGGTCCGTGCTGCTCGAGCTTCTTTCGTGCCATGGGGCCGCAGGCGTCGTCTGCGGCCGTGCGCGCACTTGGGTTGGCGATGCCAGCGTCCAGCGCCGACAGACGCCAAAGGCTGCGTCCGTGAGGAGGTCCGCGGGCCGCAGCAGCGTGGCCGACGCCACCAGTCTGCGGGGCTCGGTGACTGCACCGCCGTCCGCCAGGGACGTCAGCCCGAGCAGCGTGTCCCGGACTCTGTTGTGCCTCCGCGTGGCCGGCCCTGGGGCGCACTGGAGCGCGTGTTGGCACTGCAGGTCCAGCTGGCGATCGCATCTTGCGCGCGCGGCAGGGGCGCCCAAGGTCTGCCCCGAGGCGCAGCGAACCGCGGTGAGAAACTCAGAGGGGGGCGGCGCAGCGTCATCGACCGCAGAACCAGCGGTGGTCAGCATCCTGGTGCGTGAGGTCGTCGAGGATCCAGCCGCCCCCCCAATGGCTCGCAAGGCCACTAGGCGGGGGCCCGACGCGAGCCCGGCCAGGCGCGACTGCAAGCCCTCCTCCGCGTCCAGGTGCTCGGGGTCGTCGGGCCCGCGCGTGCAGCAAGAGCGCGCTGGCGGCGCGCCCGGCGAACTCGTCGCCCTTCCCGGCCCGGCCCCGCGGCAGGAGCCCGGCGACCTGCGCGAGACGCCGGGCTGCCTCTTCGTCCCCCGCCTCGAAGCACTGCTTGGCCACCTCGGCGGACGACGGCGGGAGCTGCGCGCGCCGCTCGTCCATGGCAGCGCGCGTCGTGGCAGAGCGCGAACAGAGGGTCGCGGACGGGGCCTGGCAGCAGCCGCGCATGGTCCTGGCCCAGGCTGCGCGCCTCTGTCCTGCTGGCCAGGAACGCGGGCAGGCGCAGGTCCGCAGCGTTCCGCGGCCCAAGACCCCCGGCCTCCGCGGCCCCCGACGCCTGCGCCCACACCCTGTCGGAGAGCGGCCCCCCCAATATCGCTCCCAGGGCGAGGCGCTGCCCGCCGTCGAACGCAGCTGCCTGCGAGGGGTCGAGGTCGGGCCCGGCCGCGCACGGCAGGTGGGCGACCCTGCTGGCGTTGGCGGAAACATGCAACAGGGCGAGCTCCGCGCGCGCGTCTTGCATCGGCTGAAGCTCAGCGCGCGCGGCGGCCGTGCTCCAGGCGGCAGCGTCGAACTGCTCCGCGAGGGTGGCGCCGTCAAGCTCGATCCCAATTGGACCTTGCCCTCCAGGCGGCCCTCCGCCGCAGTGCTCAACCGGCGCGTTGCAGCGACAATCCCGGCGCTCCAGGTCGGGTCCACATCGGCTTGAGCTGGCGCCAGCGAACCAAGCAACCGGGCAGCGCTCTTGAACTGGCCGTCCGCCACGCGCGTGCCGCCCGCCGCGGCGAGCTCTGCGTCGAAGGCGCGCAAGTGAACGACCGCGAAACCAGGCGGGAGAACAACCTGGCCGTGGCCCATGTACCAAGTGCCCCACACCCACCCGCCTGCCGGCCCCCGCGCACCACAGCAACGCCAGGCCACAGTTTGCTGGGCCGAGGGGGTTGCCCTGCTCCGCGCCCCGGTCACAAGAGACCCAGCGCCCACGAGGCAGGAGCACCTGGGCAGACCAGCCGTGGCACCAGCGCGTCCACTCCAGGAGTCCGGGAGCGTGCTCTTCGACAGCTGCACAGATTGCGGCCAGCTCCAAGGACGGGAACGCGTTCCGAAGGTCGAGGTCCAGCATGGCCAACCCGCCCTCCGGACGGCGCGGCCTGCTCCAGGCACCAGCGGAAGTGCGTCAGACCCTCAGCGCCGCCGGGCAGGCCCTCGCCGCGCTGCCGGTGCGCAAGAAACAGCCGCTGGAGAGCGTCGCGCTGGTCGGCGACAAGCTTCCTAGCCACAACCCGCCTCCAGAGCTCACCGATTCGGATCGGCCGGGGGGCATCCGAAAGAAGGCTCGGCAATCGAGCAGCCAGCGGGCGGAGGGCGGCAGCGTCCCCGCGCGGCCGCGCTGCTCCAGCGCGGCGACGGCCTCGCGCAGACGGTTCACCGTGGACCGGCGCTGGGCAAGCAATGCTTCCCGCCAATGCTCCGGCCGTGCGCCCGACGGACCTGCTCCGCTGAGCGCTGCAAGCCCGGCCCCGCGCGGGGCCCGCTGCCTGAGGCTGCAGGCGGCGGCGACTGGCCTGGCCACTCCGCCGCGCCATCGTGGCCGAGGGGCCCGGCGCTGGCCAGGCCGCTCCGCGGCGTCGACACGGCTGAGTGCTGCGTGCGCGGGGCTGCCGCCAAGCGGGCGGGCTTGAAGCGCCCGCCAGCCGTGGCCTCGCTGCCAGGCAGGAGCCCGCGCGCCCGCGCCACCTCCACGTCGGCAGTGAGCTCGGCCATCGACCCCGTCGGGGCTGTGACGCCCTTCCGGTGCGCCTGCTCACGCGCCAGCTACTTCGCCCGGTGGCCATGCGTAGAGGCACCTCCAGCATGCCCCACTCCCCGAGCAGAGACCTGGGAGGCGGCTCGGCCCGCGCGAGCAGCGCCTCCCACTCGCCATCGGCCCGCATTGCGTGCCGCTTAGCGAGCTCTGCCCGGAGGTGGAATCCCTGTGGCAGAGGGGGCAACAGCAGCTTCGTGCGCCCCAGCTCCAGCTCGCGGTCGGGCCGCTTCGAGGCCTTGAGCCATGGCCCTGGCGGTGCTCGCGGACGGCCGCTGGCGCGTGCGGGAGTGGGGCCTGAACGATCGAATGCCCCGACGTCCGCAACAGATGCCCACGTCGAGCCCCCGCAGCGTAGCAGCGCCTCGCTCGCCCAGCTTTGCCGCGCAAGATTGCGGGGCTGGGCGAACTTGCCGTGCGAAGAGTACAGCGGGCAAGCGAGCTGCGGGGCGCCTGGCAGAGGCACGAGCTTCGAAGCGGCCCGTTGACTCCCGCGTGCCGCGCTGGCTGGGTCGACCGCGCCTCCGGCGCCGCCGGACGGCCCTGGGGAAGCGGCCTGCGCGCCGCGAGGCGGGGCACCGCTCGCCGCCGGAGAGTCCATTGGAGCCGCCAGCGAGGGCGCGGCAGCCGCGTGCGACAGCTCGCAGAGCCGGTCGCCCTCGCCGGGCACTAGCCGCATGCGGTGCCTCTCGACCCGCAGCTGCAGGGCAGCCTCCAGCGCGGGCGCGCAAGTGCCCGCGGGCCTCCCGTGGCCCGCCACTGGCGAGGAGAGCTGTCGGAATATCCTGCCTGTGTCCCTCGGCGTGGGCGCCGAGAGCCTCGCCTCCTGGCCGCCGATCAATCTGGTGGCGAGCCGGCGGCCGGGCCCAGGACCAGGCTCAGGCGGCAGGGGCGCGGGCCCGGAGGCAACGTCTACGGCGGCGGCGGCAGCGGCGTCCAGAGGCTCCACCGACCTTCCGGGGCCCACCGCAGCGCCAGCGGCGGCTGCGGGGCCCGCCGCACCAGCGCCAGCACCAGCACCAGCAGCAGCGCCCGGCGTGCACGGCCCGCAGATGAGGAAGGTCCAACCTCCAGGCCCCGCACGGCGGGCACACGTGCTGCGCGCGTCATCGCCGCTGGGGCGGAATCCGAGCACGGGGTGGCCACGTGCGGGGCGCGGCGGGCCTGGGTTGCTGGCCTCCCACGCGCGGATCGCAAAATAGCCGCGCTGTCGAGATTCGAGGCGGGCCGCCGGGCGGCAGACCAGAGCGACCGCGCGGGCGCTGCCAGCCTCGCCCGGCGTGGGAAGACGGCCTGAGGCTCCATCTTCCCAGCTGCCGCCGCCGAGGGGCGCGTTGCGTGAGTTTGCCGGGCGGAACCTCCGGCTACCGCCTCCCTGGGCTGCCGGGCCGGGCCCCAGCGCCGGGTTGCCGAGCCACGTCTCTGGCAGCCGCCCTCCTGGGGCCGCCTGGCAGCGCGCCAGCGCTGGGTGGCCAAACCGCGACTCTGGCAACCGCTCTCCTGGGGCCGCCAGCGCCGCCACATGTCGCGCAGTGCGCGGCTCGCTGGCTAGGCCAAACCGCTGCGCCGGGCTGCCGCGCGTGCGCGCCGGCGGCGTGCCCTCCGCCGTAGGACGTGACGCGGCCAACTCAGTAGGGTCCAGGGCGGTCCCGGCCAGCTGCGGACGGGCCCTTCCCAATGCCCTTGCCGCCTGCTGGCGTGACCAGGGCGGGGGTAGCAGTCCCCGAGGGCGGCGCGGACGGCATTGCCGATGCCCACCGGGAATGCGCCGCGCTAGCGCCGCCCTCGGCAACCCCCTCCAGGCAGTCCGGAGGGGCAGCGGCCAGGTCCGCCTCCATCGCGGACTGCGTGACGAAGGCCTTCGTCTCCTCGTGCTCGGCGCGTTCCGAGACGGAGGAGGTGGCCTCGAGTACGGAGGGATCGACCTCTTCGCCGAGATCCGCATCCACCTCAGACCTCAGCCATCAACCGGTGCAGGCTGTCGAGGCGCTGGATGTGCGGAGGCTTCTCGTCCCACCTCGACGCGCGCGGCCAGGGGCAGCTAAGCCTTGCGGCCTCCTCGGCCCGCTTTGCCCCAAGTCTGCCGTATTCAACATGGGGGTGTCTGGGCCATCCTGAGGCTCCAAATGTGCCCGGAGCGCGCTGGGCATCGTGCTGATTTGGGCTTGGACAGACGCGCGCGGCAGGCCCGTGCAGTGTGATCCGACGTAGGATTGCCTGAGTCCCGCTGTCATCTTCTGAAAGTTGTGCGCGTCCGACGCCGCCCAGCGCCGTGCTTCGGCCGGTCTCTTCCGGGAATGTAGTGTGCAGCGCCTCCTGGGGCTGGGTCGTTCATGATGGCCAGTATGCCGTTTCTCGCGCTCGAGGTGAGCCGCCTGAGCGCCCTGCCTGCGGCCTGAGGGTTGGTCGCCACAAGCTGCCGGATGTCCTCCTGCGCTCGGTGTTCGGCCTGCCTCCGAGCGTCCGCGCGCGCGGCTCGAAATGTCTCGCGGGCCGCGCAGAAGGCGGCTGCTCTGTCGGGGCATCCAGGCCTGGCCTCGCAGCCCCGCGTCGCCGTGGCAATGTCCCGCAGCGCCCGGGCCTCCATGTGAAGAGCCCTGGCTTTCTGCTCCTTGTGTCCTTCCCGCGTGCCGCGCGCGCCGCGCCGGTTGCCAGTCTGGTCGCGGTCAGCCCGTGGCGCTGCGCCCAGGCTTGCGCTGCCGGCGACCTCATGCTGCTTTCCTTGCGCGCCCTCCGCTGCAGGTCGCATTGCGGCCGGGACTCGACCTCCGTGTGCAGGGCGCGGAAAAGGTCGCCGCTGCATTCGCGAAGTTCGTCGTGCCGCGCAAGCGTGTCTGCGTGAAATCGGAGCTCAGGGGGGGCCGCCTGGCAGCGCGGCCCGGCGGAGGAGTCGGGCCAAGTGGCGGGATGGTGCCGGCGCCGGCGGCTCTTGCAGTTGTCGCCGTCGTGGACCTGGCCTTCGGGCGCCCCTGCCCAGCGCGGCCCCCATGCCGCGTGCTGCCGGCGTCCCGCGGCGCGGGTGGCAACCCCCTGCGACGTGCTTTCGACCGTGGCCTGGGCAGCGGGCAGGCCGCGGACTGACGGGTCCGCGTCTGCGGCAGCGTTGAGGTCTCCGGCTGGGCGCGCAGTCCAGCGGTGCTTCTGCGCGGCGGCAGCGGACGTATATTCCGCCAAGCTGGTGTGCAGGAGCGCCTTCCGCATCTCCTGCTTGGCGCCGCGCTTTCGGGGGGGGGGGGGCGCTGGGCCCTCCGCGGCGGGTGGCCGGTCCATCCTGGGCGGGGCATGTCGCGCGCGAGGTCGGCCAGGATGGCATGTGCAATGTTGAGTTTGTCATGTCGTCGCCAGCGAGCCTGGTCGCCGCGTCGTGCTCCTCCAGCGTCCGCGGCGCAGACTTTTTTAGCGGGGTTCCTGGCAGCGCCGTGTCAGAATCCTCTGTCGTCCGGCACCTGCAGGATATTCCGAGGAACCAACTGGGCCCAAAACCGCTCATGAGGCTTCCGCTGTCGATCGGTCTCGCGGAGAGGAATCTCTCCTTGGACATCAACTCTACCGCTGAATCCAAATTTGATCACCCCTCCAACGCTAGTGATGCCAATCGGCCTCGCGGGGTGCCCCCTCCCCCGCGGCCGTGGCCGGCTCGTCCGCGGCTGCTCCAGCCGCGCCCGGGCCGCGCGTTGGAACCTCCGGCCCGCGGCCGACGTTGCAGGCGAATGCTGTGCCACCTCGCTCTGGTCCCAGTCGGGCACTCTCCTGAGCGGGGGTCCAAACCCCGCCCGAACTTGCCGCGTTAACGCGCCGCTGGGGCGCAGACCTGCCGCGGCTGTCTCCAGCGTTCCCGTGCTTGCTGTCGCCGTTTTTACATGTATTTGCCTATGGGAACCCTCCGCGGCCCTGGGGCACTTGGCTGTCATTGCTGGGGGCGCATGCTCAGCGCCGCTCTGCCTCCCTCTCGATGGAAAGAGCGTGCCGGCGCATTCTGCGCTGCACCCCGTGCCGCGCTCGCGCCGGCGCCGAATTGCTGCTCCAGGCTCCAGGAGTCGGGTGGCCGCGCTGACCGTGCCTGGTCCCGGCGCCAGCGTCGCGCTGTCGTCCGGCCAGATCGTAATGATCGTGCCAGTGCTCAGGAGCGGAATCCACGGGGTCGATTTGCTCTCGGGGCGTTCCTTGCCCCGCAGCCCCGTCCAATATGTCCGATGCCCCCAAGTGGCCCGGGCCGTTGAAGATCTCCGCCGCCCCAGCGACGAAGACGATGTCCGTGCGCTTCTGCTCCCACTTGGCGCGCTCCGCAAGCTCGGGGCCACTGTGGCCCTATGTCACCTTGGACGGGTCCACCTGCTTCCCTGTCCTGTGGCCGTGGGCCGTGTTGCCGGGCGCGCGCGGGTAGCGTGGGCGGCGCAGCGCGTCCAGAATGGTCGGTTTCTGCTGGGGGCCGCCGCCGTCCAGCCGCGCCCGCCCATCGTGGCTGCGGCGCCAGAGAGTGGTGTCGCCGAGCTCCCTGACCTTGACGCATGGGGTCTCTGTGGGACACTTAAGCGTCAGATGAGCATTGCCCTGTGGCGGCCCTGGCTTACCTGGGTCGTTCATGAGCGTATCAACGACACTGCCAAATATAGCAAGCGCTTCGAACCACTCTCAGATCTGGTCTCCTTCTGGGCAGTCCAGGGTGGTCGATTCAAAGCACGCCTGATCAGCGGTCCAGGGCGATGCTGGCTGCCCGTTCGGCGCCATGGTGCGCGCAAGCTAGTGCACCCTTGTTTCGGACGGTTCCTGCTCCCCCAGCCGTCTCCACATGCAGCTGGACAGGCCATTATGCCGCTATCACGCGGTTCGAAGGCGGGGGGCGGCGGGGGCGGCTCTGGTAGCCCGGTGGCTGCTTCGGCCGCTTCATGGCTACAGCTGGGGCTGGGGGCTGCTGCGGCGGCGCCTCTTCGGCGGTCGCTCGGGACTCCGCGATTTGCTGTGGGTGCCGACTGGCGTGGTGGAGACGGGGCTGGACACCCGCCCCTCACTGGCACCTCGCCGGCCACCGCCTGGCCGCGGTGAGCGCACCCGCACGAGTTCTACCACTGATGCTTCGCGCCCAACTGCAGCCTCTGCGCCGCAGAGGCCGCGCATCCCGTCGTCCTTCGCCACCTTCGTTGCAATGCCCTCGTGCGGGCCCCCGCCCGCAGCCCCCCGCGGTGTCGCGGCCGCCTCGCAGATCTGTCGCACGGAGGCGATGTACCAGGCGGCCCCAGCATCGAATCGATAAGCCGGATCGGGTCGACCGGAGCATCGAATCGGCAGGAATCGGCAAAAGCTGGCAGCCAAGTCGAAATCGGCTGAGGTCGGCAGGTCCGAGCCGGATCGAATCGGAAACCGGACGGCGTCAAGCCGGATCGGAATCGAAATCGGACCCCCCCCCCGGGAGGGGTTTGGGTTTCTGGACCCCCCTGGGGGGGTTTGGGTTCCTGGGGGTTTTGGAAAACCCCTCCCGGGGGGGGTTTTGGGTCCTTTTTTTTTTGTTGAAAGCCTTCCCTCTGGGGGGGGTTTGGGGTCCCGGGGCTTTTGGACCCCCCCCCTGGGGGGTTTTGGGTTTTTTTTGGGGGGGGGGGGGGGGAAACCCCTTCCCTCTGGGGGGGGGTTTGGGGTCCCGGGGCTTTTGGAAAACCCCCCCTTTGGGGGGGGGGTTGGGGTCCCGGGGCTTTTGGACCCCCCCACCGGGTGGGGTTTGGGGTCCCGGACTTTTTTTGGAAAGCCCACCTCTGGGGGGGGTTTGGGGTCCCGGGGCTTTTGGAAGACCACCCCCTGGGGGGGTTTGGGGTCCCGGGGCTTTTGGAAAACCTCCTCCCGGGGGGAGTTTGGGGTCCCATGGAGGGCTTTTGGACCCCCTCCCTTCGGGGGGGTTGGGGTCCCGGGGCTTTTGGAAGACCCCCCCCTGGGGGGGTTTGGGGTTTTTGGACTCCCCCCCCTGGGGGTTCCTCCTCCCTCCTCCTCCTCCCCTTGGGGGCCAGAGCCGGAGCGAAGCCGGATCGGTAAAAGCCGGCAGGAATCGGCTGACGCATCGAATCGGCAGAAGCTGGATCGGGCGAACTCGAAATCGAAATCGCGAATCGGAATCCCGGAATCGAGTCGGTCGCGGAAATCGATTCGAATCGAACCGGCGGAATCGGAATGACCCCTGATGTACTGTCTCCAGCAGGAGGTCGACGGTGTCCTGGCGGCCCTCCCCTGTCATGTTTGAGAAGGACACAAGATCTGCAGGCCGCTCCTCTCTCGGCTCCGGGACCCGTGGCACGGCCTGTGCGCGGTGGAACGACAGCGGGAATTCCCGTCGCAGCCTTGGCCGCCCCTCGCCCCCACGGGGCGCGCTGGCGTCAGGGTCTCCACCGGCAGCGCGGCTCGCGGTTTCGCATGCGAGGGGGGCGGCCTTAACCTGCCAACTGCCGAATCCTTCTTGACGTGGTAGTACCTCCGCTGGCCATGTGGATTCTTGTGCAGCCGGGGTACCGGGTATATTCATACTCTTATTTTGTCTCGTCGTATACCTTGGCCAATGTTCGATCAACATCGTCATCGTTGACCTCGCGCCACATCGGGCATCGGTTTCTGGCAGAGAAGGTCCAGCCAGCGCCGCCTCGAGCGTTGGCAGGGCCTCTCGTTTGCCCTCATTTCCTATAGATATCGGGAACCCATCTGCTGCCCCAGCGCTGGCACCGCCAAAGCGGTTGGATGGGTCATCGATCACCGGTACCGCGCTCCCTTTCCCTTCCCTTCCCCTTCTCCTTGCCCTTCCAATTGCCCTTCTCCTTCCCCTCCCCCTCCCCTTCCCTCCCTCTCTACAATGACACAATATGAATACTACTTCCCTCTCTCCCCTGATGACGTCCGGAAGATATCTGCCCCCCCTCTCCGCGCACTGTTTTTACACACAGGAATCCCGGGATTTTGATTTTTCTCTGGCTTCTGCTCGTTTTCGGGCTTCCGCTCGTGCCGAATCGTGCTCCCGCTGCAACGCTGGCCTCATTTCTGCGCTTGTGCTCGTTCTGAGTCGTGCTCCCGCTGAAGCGGTGGCCTCATTTCCGCGCTTCCGCTCGTCCCGAATAGTGCTCCCGCTGCTGCGCGGGAGTCATTGTTTCCAGTGCTTTGCCACGGCATAGTTTCGGTCCTTCCGAACAAGCCCCAAAATCAAAAAAAATGGCCTCCCGAAAAACCATCGGAAGTGATTATACATTCGGTGCCGATTCTTTAATTTTCTGGGCCGCAGAACCCTCCCCTTCTCCCACTATGGGGCGTCGCCACGCCATGCTATGTCATGCTACGCGTTGATTTTCAGCACCATGCTATGCCATGAAAGGAGATCTACGCCATCGTCAGGGCTGGGAGAGAGGGGTAGGGCGTCATATATGACGCGAGTGCACCTAGCTTGCCCCCAACTCCTCCCTCCTCCCCCCTCCCTCCCTCCCCCGACCCTTGGCGCCTCCAGCGGCCCCACTGGGAAGGACCGCTGCGCTGCGATGGCGATGGCCAGGGGCGCGCCGTCGGGGCCCTCTGGCGGCGAGCCGCCGTCGGGGAGCGCCTGCCAGTCCTGCCGGCGAGGGGCAGCGGATGTGGATGGAGGAGAATGCAGGATGGAGGAAGATGCAGGATGGGGAAGGGAGAAGGACGGAGGAGGACGAATGATACTGGAGAGTGGATGAGGATGGAGGTGGAGAATGGAAGATGAAGAGGATGGAGGAGAAGGAAGAAGGTGCGAGGGAGAAGGAGGATGTATGATGATGACGGAGGTGCACGAGGAGGAGGGTGGTGGAGGAGAAGGGGGATGGAGGAATACTGGGGATGAAGAGAATGGGGATAGAAGAAGACAGAGGAGAAGGAGGAAGAGGAGGAGGAGGGAGGAGGAGAGGAGGAGGAGGAGGAGGAAGAGCAGGAGGAGGAGGAGGATGCGAAGGAGGGGGGGAGGAGAAGAGGAGCAGAGGAGGAGGAGGAGGAGAAGGAGGACGAGGAGGAAGAGGAGGAGGAGGATGAGGAGGAGAGGGAGGATGAGGAAGAGAGGAGGGGAGGAGGAGGAGAAGGAGGATGAGGAGAAGCAGGAGGAGGAGGAGGAGGAGGATGAGGAGAAGGAGGACGATGTGAGGAGGAGGAGGAGGAGGAGGAGGGAGGAGGAAGAGAAGGAGGAGGAGGAGGCGGAGGAGGAGGAGGAGGACGAGGAGGAAGAGGAGGAGGATGATGCACATCTTTTCCTGGGGCCAGAACAGATGATTCTCGCAGGGCAGCATGCAACTCGAATGCGACCGAACGCGAGCCAGCATCTTCGAGCTAGCTCAAATCTTGCCGCAGCTTACGCATCATATATATATCTAGACTGAAGAGGCACGCAGTGGGTTGGCTTAGGGCTCGAGAAAAACCGCTTGAGCCGAAGTGCGGCCAGGCGGAAAATATTAGCATTGCCCGCTCTGTTACACTCCACGGGCTCTGTTTCACAACGCTGCTACATGCCCATCTTTTCCTGGGGCCAGAACAGATGATTCTCGCAGGGCAGCATGCAACTCGAATGCGACCGAACGCGAGCCAGCATCTTCGAGCTAGCTCAAATCTTGCCAACAACCGCCACTATATGCGATCTGGCGGTTGAGGCGGCACCTTCTCCAAATGCGATTCGTGAATTAGTTGTGACCATTGCTGCAGCAGGCGGGGCGGATAGGGCTCGGCGACTTGTGTCCACAGGCGGCCTCCGGGAGCTCTGCCCTCAAGGACTTGATGTGGTTTCTTGGAAAACACACACACGACATTGGCACACTGAGCGGCGAGCGGCGACAACAATCCTTTTTTGTCGTCCCAGCATGCAAGGGTAGTTTCCTTCCGCCACGGCATTCCATATTTACAATAGACTGTGTGCGTGAGGGACGCATGACACAACAGGCGTGCTAGTCCTGGCTGCCTCCACAGCCAGGACCTACGTGGATTCTCCAAGGACACTGGCACTCGATGACGGACGCAAGCTCTGATGATACGAACTGAGGTTCGTAGCAGCTGATTGCCTACTTTGACCTTTTGGGCGTCAGCTCCTGAAAGGCTTGGGAGACCGCAGGGAAATTGACAAGAGCGCAGCGGGCCCCCCGGAGAGCCCGGTTTGCCCCGGCGCGCTTCTGAAAAACTTGCGCACGGCGTGCCTAAATGGACCCATTTGGCCTGCGGCACAAGCTGTAGCACTGCACGAATGGACCTTTCTTTGCTCAAGTCCTGGGAGGCACTATCTCTGATGTCCCATGTGCGTGCTCTCCAGCCCCGCCGCTGCAGCGAAGCCGCGAGCCCTCCCTTTCCTGAAAAAAGCTCCAAAACAAGCGGCCTGGCCTGTGCACTAGGCTGAGACGGAGTCACACGAGGCTCACGTCTTGAAGCCGCCGCGCGAAGCCGTTGGTGCGCCCGTCGCCCAGGGCGCCCTCGAGCAGCTGGTCGGCCTCGGCCAGCAGCAATTGTCGGCCGCGGTGGAGCGAGGCCCGGCGGCGCGTCAACTCCCAGCTCTTGAGACCGAAGAGCGCGGCTGCTACCTTGAACATGGCATTGAAGTCCGCGCCCGACCATGGAGAGAGGAGATCCACCGGCTGCGACTGGGAAACGATCTGCTCCAGCCGGGGCCCGACAAAAGATTTTGCGGGGCTGTTGAGCAGGATCGAGTCGCTGAAGCCCTTGGTCGTGGCTGACTGCAGCTCCTTTTTGGGCCTCAGCTCCAGGGGCGTGAAGCGGTAGTCGCCCCCCGCACGCGGCTGCGCCAGCACCCTGTGGTCCGCCCGGAGGGTCAGCAGCTCCCTCGGGCGCAGGTAGGCGTCCGCCGCGAGCATCACGCCGAGGGCCGCTCGCCGCTGGCCGAGGTCGATCAGGGCCACCGCGAGGGCCGCTAGCGCCGCCCAAGGCGCTGGCGCCCACGCCAGCGGCCGCACCAGCCCCCGCCAGCCCTGCAGCGCCCTCGCCATGCGGGGCAGCTTCAGCTGCCTGCCCGCATGGTGCAGCCCTGGGCCGCGATGCCTTATCGCGGCCCGCAGCTTGGCCCCGCTGCTCGACGGCTCTCCCTGGTTGAAAAGCAGCTCCATGTACTCCCCCACGGCCTTCTTCAACTCGACGTCGCTCGCCGTGATGAGCCCGTGGGTCCTGCAGAAGACGTCGAACCGATCCAGCCTTCTCTCGTAGTCCTGCCTCGTCGCTTGGGTGCTGCCCTCCTGCTCCAGCGTCGTGAGCCCACCAGTCCCGACCGCGTGCGCCCTCGCCGCCGCGATCGCTCGCGCGAGCGCCGGTGGGGGAGGGCGGTCGCGGCGGGGCACACGGGATCGGCGAGACCTCGTCGATGAAGGCAGCCGTCGCTCGGTCGAGGATGCCGGGCCCGCTGCCGCTCTGACCACAGGGGCTGGGGCAAGCCGACGGCGGAGCGGGAGCCCGTGGCTCTCTGGCAAGGCGCCGCTCCTCCGCAGTGCCCTCTTGCGCAGGGGGCCGCCAGGCCCGCGCGCACCATCCCTCTCGGGAAGCGTTCGAGCAGGCCTCGGCTGCCTCTCCAGCGGGCCGCCGTCGCCAGGCATCCAGCGCCGCCGCAGCCGCCTTCTCAGCGGGCGAGTCGAACCATCGGCTAGGCTCATCAGCTGGGTTGAGCTCGCTGGCCACCCAGCGCACGCTGGTACGAGAGAAGGAGGCCAGTGACAAAGCGGCCCACTTTCTGAGTTGAAACAGCACCGGAGGTGACACCGCTCGGCCCTTCTCGAGGCTCAGGACCATACCCATGTTGTCGCACAGAAACAAATGGCGATGACGATGATATCTAGCTTGACGACACTTACGCCTCCACCCGAACAGCACGGCCCTGAGCTCCTTAAGATGGATGGCCTCTCTCCTATGATATCTCCTTGCCTGGATGGTCCTCCACGAGCCCTCGCTGATGAACCCCTTGGGGATCTCTGGGAACTCCTGATTGATGCTGATGTCCACGTCCCCGTCAATGAGGTCTCCTAAGAAACCCGCAGGATAACCTGACTCCTCGCCCCAGCAGCCCTCCGCAGCGGCCCCAGCGGCCCCAAGAGCACCAGCCAGAGGTAGATCCCGAAGCGCTTGACGACGAGGGGCTCCACTAAGGCCTTCAAGAACCCGTAGAGGCATGGCTGGGTGTACATGATGTAAACCTCGGGGGCCCACGGGGTCGACACTCGGGAGCCCCGGCGGAGGAGGAGGTAGAGGTCGCCCGTGCTGACTCTCACCCTCGCGCTCGAGCAGTGCTGCCTCGCGCGGGCGCAAGGTCGACTGGATGCGAAAGCGCCAGCGCTCACTCCAGCGTCCGACCTCCCGCACGGCCGACGGTTCCATGTCAGCCTCCTGCACCGCGTAGCCGCGCAGCGTGGCATCGGAGCAGGTGACGCGCCCGGACCACGGCAGATCGAACTGGACGGCCAGCAACGGCATGAGGTGCAGCGCGTTAGCCAGTTCTTGCCGCACCGACGGCCAGAGCGGCACAGGCGCCCTGTAGTGCTTCCGGGCAAAGTCGTAGGCCGAGCGGAAGACGCACAACGCGGGGCGATTCAGCAGCATGGCATGCGTGAAATGGCCGATCATCTGCTCGACCTCCCTGCCCGCCACGCGCCGGCGCCGCAGGAGGGCCTGGGTGCCCAGGCCGAGCCTCCAGCGCTTGGCCCGTGCCAGCCGGGCCCGCAGCTTGATGCCGTCCAGCTCCAGGCCCAGCGCCTCCACGACCGTCTTGCTCTCCTCGACCTCGTGCAGCGGCAGCCCAGCCTCGGCCATCACCTTGGCCGCCTGCCTTCTCGCACCCCGGGTGGCACCCGGTCGCGACGAGACGAAGATCTCGTTGTCCACGTAGACGACCCTCGGCACCTGAGGCGAGTCCACGCTTGGAGCGATCTGCCTGTCCACCAGCTCGCTCTCGATGCCACCGAGGCCCCCTCGCCGCAGCAGCTCGCGGTGCGCCTGCTGCGTCCAGCGCATGGCCCACGCGAAGCCCATGGGCAGCACCCGCAGGCATGGGTAGACCCACGCCCCTTCTGAGACCGCGAGGCCGTCGACCACCTTCACGCCCAGCTGCCTTGCCCTAAGAGGGCGCATGCCAAACCACGGCGCCATGTAATCCGGCACGCGAAACTGGTAGAAGCAGTCTGCGATGTCCTGGATCGAGAACTCCAGCTGGGCGCCGCCCTCGACCTCCATGTTCACCAGCGCCGCGGTGGACGCCATGTGGATCGTCGGCGGCCGCTTCAGCGCCTGGTTGACAGCTCGAGCGTCCACTATGAGCCTCAGGCGGCCCGACTTCTTCCTCGCGAAAAACACTCCCGCTTCAAATTCGCGACGAGTCCGCAGCTCCACCATGCCGCGGTCCAGCAGGTCCTGCACGAACCGCAGGTACTCGTCTGTGTTGGATTGCAAGGTCTTATCCCAGTGCACCTTGGTAGCGCCTGGGCGAACCTCTTCAGCGCGAAGCATCATCGAATTCTTACCGTCGATCACCTCCTGGCGGTCTGGCTCCGGCAGCACCTCCAGCAAGCTGACGCAGCCCGCCGACTCAGGCCACGAAACCAGGCCGCGATCATACGGCGCAACCACAGTGGGGCCGTCAGAGCCGTAGCCCAGACTACCCGTGCCGAGCAACTCCACGAGGGCTGCCTCGGGGCTGGGGGCGTTGTCCGGCGGCTTGTCGTCCGACACAGCCTGCCAGAGCATGTCCACAGCAGAAAATTGTGCCTCCGAAGGACGGGCCTTCGAGCAAAAGTCGCCCTCCCCGTACAGATTGTTCAGGGCGGCGATGCAGTCGTTCACGCGGCGGCCCACAGCAGACCTGCGGCCGATCCTCTGGGCGGCGCGGCGCGGCAGCGACCGCGCGCCCCGAGCCGGCGGCGCGGGCACCGAGGGCAAGGGCAACAAATCCCTCGGCACCATGCGCTCCAGCGGCCTGTTGGCACTGGCTGGGTTCGGCCAGCTCCCAACCTCGAAGCCCATCATAACTTCTTCGGAGGAGCGCGCGCCAACGCACGCTCCTCCGCAGCCTTGCGCTCCTCCTTCAGATTGACCGAATCCCGGGCCGCGGACTCCGCGACCCACTTCAGCAGCTCCAGACCGATGATGGCCCCCCTCGCCCTCCTGGCGCGGCCCAAGCAGTAGTCCTGACCATCGAACTCCTTGATCGTCTCCTTCTTCTTCTTGGTCTTGTGCCCCAAGACCTGCAAATGCCTCGCGAGCTCCTCCCAGCTCGCCAGGTTGGTAACGTCGACCTGGCCGTACGTGCAAGCCAGTTCCAAACTCTCTGACAGCATCTCGTGGGCCACCGCGCCCTGCTCATCATCGTCGAGCTTGTTCTCGTGCTTCCAAGCAGCGTGGCGATGGACCGGGCCCCCGCTCTGCTTGGCAATCTCCTTCTCCACGTACAAAGTGGTCCGGGGCCCAGACAGCACCCAGTCCTCGAACTCGCACAGCCCCGATGAGTCCACCACACTCTTCAGGTCCCCGAAGCAGCGGCAGGCCGCGCCCCGCTTGATCTCGAGCGTGCGGGCGTCCTCCGCGGGCGGCGGCGTCGGCATCCCCCTGACAGCATCCAGCGCCGCGGTCGCCACGAAGGCCCGCACGGCCTCGTCCGCGGTCTCGCCCGGCGCCAGCCTGACCATGATCCACGACTGCAGCGCCGCGCCGCGCGGCCGCTCCTTGAAGCGGTAGTCCGGCTGGCCCTTCGCTGCCCTAAGGCCGGTCGGCAGGCCGCCCCGCGTGCCCGCCTGTCCGAAGTCCAACACGCTGCGCATGTCGATCTCTTCCTCACTCATGCCCTCGTTGGGGGACAGCACCAGATACTTCACCCCGCCCAGGGAGGCGAGGATCAGCCTCTCAGGCCGCGTTTCCTCTGCCTCCCCGCTTGTCTCACGAGCAGATCCGCACCGACACCAGGCACGCGCTGTCGAACGCCCGCACCAGCAGCACCGCGAGGTCGCCGAGCAGGATGCCCAGGCCCCCGGCGACGACCGCCACGCGCAGCGGCACCGGCGCCCCCAGCAGCCAGACTCGGAGAGGCCGGCGCTGGCGCAGGTCGACCGCGCCAGGGCACAAGGAGGGACCTGCAATCCACTGCTGGTGGCCTCGAGTGTGGAGGCTTTGGAGAAGGTGGCCAGGCCGAAACCTCCCACACGCCGCCTCGAGAAAAACCGCTTGAGCCGAAGTGCGGCCAGGCGGAAAATATTAGCATTGCACGCTCTGTTACACTCCACGGGCTCTGTTTCACAACGCTGCTACAGGAGGAGAGGGGGGATGAGGAAGAGGAGGAGGAGGAGAAGAAGGAGGAGGAGGAGGAAGAGGAGGAGGAAGAGGAGGAGGAGGAGGATGAGGAGGAGGAGGAGGAGGAAGAGGGGGGTGGGGGTGGGGGGAGGAGCAGGAGGAGCAGGAGGAGGAGGAGGAGGAGAAGAGGAGGAAGAGGAGGCGGATGAAGAGGAGGAGGAGGAGGAGGAGGAGGAGGAGGAGGAGGAGGAGAAGGGGGAGGAGGAGGAGGAGGAATAGGAGGAGGAGGAGAAGGAAGAGGGTGGAGGATGATGATGAGGAGGAGGAGGATGAGGAGGGAGGAGGACGAGGACGAGGAGGAGGAGGAGGAGGAGGAGGAGGGAGGAGGAGGATGGGGGAGGATGAGGAGGATGAGGAGCAGGAGGAGCACGAGGGGGAGGAGGAGGATGGAGGTGGAGGATGGATGATAAGAGGGATGGAGGAGGAGAAAGAGGGGGCGGGGGGGGGGGAGGACGTATGATGATGGCGGTGTGCATGAGGGGGATGGTGGGGGAGGAGGGTGGAGGAGGAAGATGAGGAGGAGGATGAGGAGGAAGAGGAGGAGTAACAATGAGGATGGAGGATGGGGAGGAGAAAGAGGATGGAGGGTGGAGGATGAGGAGAAGGATGAGGAGAAACGGGTGGATGTATGATGATGTCGGATGTGGAGGATGGACGAGGAAGCTCTGGCCAATCCTGCCGCCGAGAGGCGGCTGGGTGAGGACGGAGAGGATGGAGGAAGATGGAGACCGCCTGCGCTGAGGTCCTAGGGCGCTCAGAACTTCTTTACGCTGCTCTGGCCTCGACGGTGTCATGCGCTCTTGGAGGATTGGGGGGGGGGATTGAGAATGGAACACGGTAGAGGAGGAGGAAGAGGAGGCGGAGGAGGAGGAGGAGGAGGTGGAGGAGGAGGAAGAGGAGGGGGAGAGATGAGGAGGGGGCATGGAGATGGAGGTGGAGGGCGGAAGACGATGGAGGTGGAGGAGGAGGATGGATAATATGGGGATGGAGGAGGAAGCGGAGGATGAGGAGGAACCGCTCGCTAGTCCTGCCGCCGAGGGGCCGCGGATGAGGATGGGAACGAAGAGGGTGGAGGGCACCAACGTGGAGGCCTTGAAATATTCCAGACTTCTTTACGCTGCCCCGGCCTGGCCGCCGTGAGAAATACCCTCCCTTCGACCCGCCGTTGCGCACACGTGTTAATTTTGCGCGTGGGTCCCCGCAGGAAGCTTCGGTGGGGGTGGTTCGTATTGTTGTCAGAGCCAAGCGTGCGCCTAACTTGGCGCACGATCAAATGCTTCTCGGGACTCAACTCAATAACTTTGAATGGACCCGCCTGGTCCCTCATTTTCCGGCCGATCCATAGTGTGGATTCGTACGCAGGGAATGCGGGCAGGTTGTCCGTACCATCCGATGAGCTAAGTGCTCACTCGGGCTAAGGAGTACAGGAATGGCACCACACTAAATGACCATGCCATAAATAGAATCTTCGTACAATTCGCACGCGTGCTTTCGACTCGGTGAAGAGTTTCTGCTTCAGCCAAGCGTGACGTATTTTTCCACATTCTCTTGAACCGACCTTTCAGGCCCAATCTGGGGAGCGTGAGAGGGACGCGCGCTGCAAAAAGCGAACAAGAAAACGGAGCTCCCTGACAGCTGTGAAAGCACCCGTGCGTGTTTCTGGTCCTCCTGCGACACCCAAGTAGATGGCGCCTGCTCTCCAGACTTTGCGCTGAGTCCCTTCGTTCCTGCCCTGCGCAACTGTGGGAACCCCCTCCCCTTGCGCTGCATCGGCTCCTCGGGGTTAATTTCCGCTTCCCCTTGATCGCCGTAAGGTCTTGGGAGTGCCACCGCGCTTTGAGTCAGGCTTGGCGTGAAGCGTGCGATGAGTTACCTCCTCACATCGCTGATGTCAGACTGGTCAGGTGCGAGGTCCACATGCTGTCATGAATTCATCGTTTTCACTTGTGGATGCAGGCGTGCTGCCAAAGGAAGACTGCGACAACTTTCTGCACCCCCTCGTTGAAAACCTTCTGGCCCGGTCGTGCGAATGAACACAGATCCCATCATGGCTTACCATGTGCCTTGCTTGGTGTCATCGGGGAGCGTGCTTGCGAAGCTGTGCAGAATGGCCATGTGACACTGATGTCGGTGGCGGGGCTTTTGCACCAAGCTTTGCGATGCGGCATATCCGCGCTATTCTTTCTGTCGCCCTTCCTCGCGGGGCATGAAGCTGGGCTGGTTCTCCCTTGGCTTGATAAGCTTAATGATGCGACGGGCGTCTCATGCGACCTGGTGCCTGGAACACTGCGCCCTCCAGGGCTTCTCAGCACGCGCCTCGTGAGCGTACATGCCCCTGGCATGATTGCCATCTGGGACGACCAGGCGGACTTCATGCGAAGGATGGGCAGGACTTGTGCTATGCGAAATATGACCCTCCCCTTGTTGCCTCCCCCCAAGTCATCTGGAAGTGGTGCGCGCGTGGTGGTGCGCAGGGCAGAGGCACCCCCTCTGGAAACGAAGCGAACCGGAGAGGACGACGACGGCGACCACGACGGCACCAACGACGACGACGAGGGCGACGGCGACGACCTCGCCGAATACGTCGACGGCGACGACGGCGGACCCTTGTGCTGGTCCCTCGCCAAGGGGGGTCGGCGACGGCGACAACGACCTCGACCCCGACAGCGACGACGGCTGCGGCGACGGCGCTCTCAGGTGGGGTGGGTGGAGCACGCCGCCTGCTTCTTGGGCAGGTGGGCCCCTCGAGCTGGTCCCTCGCCGAAGGGGTGGCGACGGCGTCGACGACCTCGACGCCCTAGACGACGTCGTCGCCGATGACGACGACGACCGCGGCGGCGACGGCGACGACGATAACGAACTCGACGGCGGCGGTGGCGGCGCCTCCCCGTGCAGGGCGAACGCCCTGATGCCCGGGTCGGGACTGCCCACCGGCGCGTCCTCGGGGCCGTCCTCTCCTGCCGGGCGCAATGGCGCCAAGGCTGCCGTTGCCGCCCTCGTCGCGTCGCGGTTCGCGGTCGTTGTCGCCGTCGTAGTCCTGCTGCTGCTGCTGCTGCTGCTCCTGCTCATCCCCCTCCTCCTCCACCTCCTCCATCTCCTCCGCCTCCCCGCCGTCCTCTTTCTCGGCGTCGTCGTCGTCGTCCACGATCTCCTCTACCTCCTTGTCCTCCTGCTCCTCCGCCCTGTTGCTGAGCCGTGTTCCCCCCGCCTCCTCCTCCTCCTCCTCCTCGTCTTCTTCTTCTTCCTCCTTCTTCTCCTCCTCCTCCTCCTCCTCCTCCTCCTCCTCTCCTTGCATCCCACTATCCTCTCGCTCCAGGTGGGCATCGGAAAAGGACAACTGACAATCACAGGCGTGCTGACTACTCCCTCAGTGCGAGGGCAACACCAAGAACAGCAGCACCACCAGCCACGATATGCAGGCTAGCTGTAGCTTTGTCTTGAATCTTTCTCTCCCCACGACAAAGAGCTCCGCGCATTCTCTGAGTGTCGATTGGGGGTCTGATGAGCGTGACCTGGGGGCGAGATGCTGTCTAGACGAACGACCAGTACCGCGCGCCCAATGAACACTAGACTTAGTGTACCAACCCTCTACTGAACCTCTTTCCGTCGAGTCGCAACGCAACGCTCGCGATCGAACTAACCACTTAATGGCCTCAGTTGTTGACTTGACGCTAGGGGGGGTGAACCAACGGGGAGAGAGGAGGATGAGGACCAAGAACGAGAAGCGGAGACAAATACCGAAAAGTATCATGCAGCCTTGCGCTCGCGCGTGAACATACCAGTCCAACAGGACGACCCCGCACCAGAGGACCCGCGCGAGCAGAGGCGTACACCGACAGGAAGGAGAGGAAGAACAGGAGGAGTGAGCAGCACGAGAAGAGAAGACGCAGCCCCATCTGCAGAACGCCTCAACGCCAGAGCCGAGGCGGCAAGCCCAGAGGGTCGGCGCAGCAAGAATCGGCGGTGGACAAACCTCCCTTTAGTAAAGCTCCCCTTAGTGAAAACGGCCTGGGACCGAAACCGACGCACCTGGACCCGCAAAAATGACGGCCGCGACTCCCTCTCGCGAACCGAAAACGGCCAATTCCTTCATCGACGTGTCAGGGTAGGAGGTCTGTCCACCCCCGAAAGAAGCAGGCAGGCGCAAGCTTCCCCCAGCTGCGAAGGCCACGCCCAGGCCGAGGCTGCGCGCCGTGCCCGACGCCACCCCGCCGAGGGGGGGCGGGCGAGGGCCGAAGCGCGCCCCGCAACGGAGCCAGGCCTGCCTGGCGGGACAGCACCGCCGCGGACCACCAGCCCGTCGGTCGACGGGGAGGCAGACGCCTGGAGGCCGTGCGGAATACAGTCAACCCGTATGGGAAGGATGCGCGATAAGGATGCAAAGGCCCTTGGCGCCCATGTCGACCCTTTGCGGGCGGGGCGCGACCAGCGAAAGCTGCCCAGGATGGGCCGAGGAGGCAAGGATGTAAGGGTACCCTTGGGAAGGTTACCCATCCTTACTATGCGGGTTGACTGTAGGCCGCCTGAAGAAGACACATCCGCAGAACGCCATGACGACACTGCGTGGGAAACATCTGCAACAAACGGAACCCTAACGACGAACAAACGGAAGGAATGCCGAGCAGAGGACGGATGAGGAAGGAGGAGGGGATGAGGATTATAGGGGGGAAGTCAGAGAGGATGACGATGATGGTGGTGATGATGGTGATGATGAGGAAGGGGAGGAGGAAGAGAAAGATCAGATGTATTGGGGGAGCTGCACACGCCATCCAACCAGTCCAGACAAACAGCGCATCTCTGTGATTCGGCGGAGGAGGGGGAAGGAAGGGGATAATGAAACAGGAGGACGAGACGGATACCTGCACGCTCGTATTGCGCGGTTTGCAGCAGGGAAGCATTCTGCGAACTCGAACCGACCAGCCCGCCTTGACCAACGAGATGCGCTCTTGTATATGTTTTCCCGCGACAGTGATATTCAAAGCTTCAAAGCTGGTGACAACCACCACGCGACTGAACTGCGCGGATGAACACGCAACCTTGCTATGCAGAAGACGGGGCGCGTTTCCTGTCATGACGGTGCCGACCATCTGCGAACACCACGGGGTGGGCAGCGTGGTTGCATCTTTCTGAAGACAGAAACCACGATCGCCAGAGGAACGTATGTCCTTCGACTGTGGCCGAAATTCGGGGCGAACATTCGGGCACTCATTCGCCAGATCAGTAGCAGGAAGAAGGGAGGAACCACAGGAGCGAGAGGAGAACGGAAGGATGTATTAAAACTTTGTGGTTGCATGTCCCCACGTTCCGAGCCATCATTCATATACATGGGCACCACGCAACAACAATCAAGACATCGCAACATAACGCAATACCTGGCTCAATCTTTGAATTATGCCCCGAAGTCCTGGCATGCCACAGCGGAGGAGCCAGCTAAGGAGGGGAGTGAGACATGACAAAAACACAGAGAAGGAGGCGCAAGAGGAGGAGGAGGAGGAAGAGAAGGAGGGCGAAACCTGGAGCAACGCTCAAGCCTACCTGCCATAAGCGAGCCGCTGCGCCCATCCGCGGGCTGGGAACACGGGCAGACATGCAAATGTATCTCTCCTTTGGCCCAAACGGCCACACACACGACTCCACTCTTGGAGAACCAGCATTTCTAGCATGTCCGACCTCTCGGCCTTCACGACGTCCAAGACGCTTCAAACAATTCCCAAAACGGTCCCAGAGACCACCGAACGCCGCCCCCAACCCCCCTAAGAGAGTCGTGAAACCACCCAATAAGCGCCCCAAGTGTCCCAAGAAAACCACCAATACAGCGCCAAGAGAGGCCCCAGAGGGGAAGCCCGAACCAATACTTCCGCCCCAAGACACCCCCTCGAGGACCCCAAAGGCCCCCCAGAACCCCCAAAGGACCCCCATGAGGCCTCCCAAACGCCCTAAGAGGCCCCAACACGACGCCCAATAGGCGTCAACATTGCCTCCAATACGCGCCCGAGAGGCCTCCTACGACATCCCCACAAACATTGCAGAAACTTCATTAACACCTACAACCCAGGCACGGTGGCGGAATGGGCCCATTAGACCTGGCCCGGCACAGAAACGGAAAAAGAGCTTCAGAAACAGAAACCGAAATTACTCACACCACCGTTCGTTCTGGGAGCCTTGGCGTTGAGAGCTTGTTACGTCACCCCTCGCTCTTGGGAGCCTTGGTGTTCAGAGATTGTTGCGTTGCCGCCCGTTCCTGAGCCTTGGCTGGGCCTTGGTGTCAGGAACTTGTTACGTCACCGCTCTCTGCTGGGAGCCTTGGTCTTATCAGCTTGTTTACGTCACCGTTCGCTCTTGGGAGCCTTGGTGTGAAGAGCTTTTTGCGTTACCGATCGCTCTCTATTTGGCGTCTCTGGGCCTTCTTGGGAGTCCTATTGGGGCCCTTGTCGGGCCCTTTTGGAGGCCTCTTGGGAACCTCTTGGGGGCCTCTTGGGGCTTCTTGGGGGGCTCTGGGGGCCTCCTGGGAGCTTCTTGGGGCGAAAGGCTAGACTTTTCGGTTCGTGGTCCCCCTCTTGGGGCCGTCTTGGGGCCCTCTTGGGCCGTCTTGGGCGCCTCTTGGGCCGTCTTGGCGCTCTCTTGGGCCGTTTTGGGGGCCTCTTGGGAGCCTCTTGGGCCGTCTTGGGGCGGTCTTGGGGGCCTCTTGGACCGTCTGCAACGCCGTGGAAGCCGAAAAGCCGTGTATGCTAAAAATGTACCTTTTCCCATCGGAGATCAATGATTTTCGTCTCCCGGTGGCCTCTTGGGACGCCTCTTGGGGCTTCTTGGGGGGCTCTGGGGGCCTCCTGGGAGCGTCTTGGGGCGAAAGTCCCCCTCTTGGGGCCGTCTTGGCGCCCTCTTGGGCCGTCTTGAGCGCCTCTTGGGCCGTCTTGGGGCCCTCTTGGGCAGTTTTGGGGGCCTCTTGGGAGCCTCTTGGGCCGTCTTGGGGCGGTCTTGGGGGCCTCTTGGGCCGTCGTCAACGCCGTGAAAGCCGACAAAGCGCATATGCTAAAAATATACGTTTTCCTTTGGCAAACCGATGATTTTGGCCTCTTGGGGCCCTCTTGGGGCGCCCCTTGGGCGCCTCTTGGGGGCCTCTTGGGCCGTCTTGGGCGGCCTTGGGCTCTCTTGGAGCGCTCTTGGGCAGTCTTGGGGGGGAACCCGAAAAACATGCAAAAATCCAAAGGAAAAACCCGAAAACGGCCATTAACACTCAAATGCGCACCCCCCTCCCCTGGAACCCCTCCCTTTCGGGCTTCGCCCACACCAGAGCGTCATCACTCGTACCTCGCTCTTTCCGTTACCTGGGCCGGTACGGAAACGGAAAGAACGCTTCAACAACTTGACCGAAATTACTCACACCACCGTTCGTACTGGGAGCCTTGGCGTTGAGAGCTGGTTGCGTCACCCCGCGCTCTTGGGAGCCTTGGTGTTCAGAGATTGTTGCGTTGCCGCCCGTTCCTGAGCCTTGGCTGGGCCTTGGTGTCAGGAACTTGTTACGTCATCGCTCCCTGCTGGGAGCCTTGGTCTTATCAGCTTGTTTACGTCACCGTTCGCTCTTGGAAGCCTTGGTGTGAAGAGCATTTTGCGTTACCGATCGCTCTTTATTTGGCTTCTCTGAGCCTTCTTGGGAGTCCTATAGCGGTCCTTTTTGAGCCCCTTTGGGGGCCTCTTTGGGGTCTCTTGGGGCTTCTTGGGGGTCTGTGGGGGCCTCCTGGGAGCGTCTTGGGGCGAAAGGCTAGACTTTCGGGTTCGTGGTCCCCCTTCTGGGGCCGTCTTGGGGCCCTCTTGGGCCGTCTTGGGCGCCTCTTGGGCCGTCTTGGCGCCCTCTTGGGCCGTTTTGGGGGCCTCTTGGGAGCCTCTGGGCCGTCTTGGGGCGGTCTTGGGGGCCTCTTGGACCGTCTGCAACGCCGTGGAAGCCGAAAAGCCGTGTATGCTAAACATGTACCTTTTCCCATAGGAAAGCAATGATTTTGGCCTCCTGATGGCCTCGTCGGACGCCTCTTGGGGGCCTCTTGGGGCTTCTTTGGGGGCTGTGGGGGCATCCCCGGAGCGTCTTGGGGCGAAAGGCTAGACTTTTCGGATCGTGGTCCCCCTCTGGGGGCCGTCTGGGAGCCCTCTTGGACCGTCTTGGGCGCCTCTTGGGCCGTCTTGGCGCCCTCTTGGGCCGTTGTGGGGGCCTCTTGGGAGCCTCTTGGGCCGTCTTGGGGCGGTCTTGGGGGCCTCTTGGGCCGTCGTCAACGCCATGAAAGGCGAAAAGCCGTAGATGCTAAACATCTACGTTTGCCTCGGGAAAATCGATGACTTTGGCCTCTTGGGGCCCTCTTGGGACGCCCCTTGGGCGCCTCTTGGGGGCCTCTTGGGCCGTCTTGGGCGGTCTTGGGCTCTCGTGGAGCGCTCTTCGGCCGTCTGGAGGGAGAATCCGGAAAACATACAAAAACCCTGGGGAAAACCCTCAACATAGGACCATTCGACCCCCCCTCCGCGCCTCGCCCTCCCGCCTGCCCCCCCCCTTAAGGGCCTGGCCCGGCACAGAAATGGAAAGAGCGCTTCAGAAACAGAAACCGAAATTACTCACACCACCTTTCATACCGGGAGCCTTGGTGTTGAGAGCTTGTGACGTCACCCCTCGCTCTTGGGAGCCTTGGGGTTCAGAGATGGTTGCGTTGCCGCCCGTTCCTGAGCCTTGGCTGGGCCTCGGTGTCAGGAACTTGTTACGTCACCGCTCTCTGCTAGGAGCCTTGGTCTTATCAGCTTTTTTACGTCACCGTTCGCTCTTCTGAGCCTTGGTGTGAAGAGCTTTTTGCGTTACCGGTCGCTCTTGGCGTCTCTGGGCCTTCGTGGGAGTCCTATTGGGGCTCTTTTCGGGCCCTCCTGGTGGCCTCTTGGGGCTTCTTGGGGGTCTGTGGGGGTCTCCTGGGAGCGCCTTGGGGCGAAAGGCTAGACTTTTGGGTTCGTGGTCCCCCTTCTGGGGCCGTCTTGGGGCCCTCTTGGGCGCCTCTTGGGCCGTCTTGGCGCCCTCTTGGGCCGTTGTGGGGGCCTCTTGGGAGCCTCTTGGGCCGTCTTGGGGCGGTCTTGGGGGCCTCTTGGACCGTCGTCAACGCCGTGAAAACCGACAAAGCGCAGATGCTAAAAATCTATGATTTCGGCCTCTTGGGGCCCTCTTGGGACGCCCCTTGGGCGCCTCTTGGGGGCCTCTTGGGGGCCTCTTGGGCCATCTTGGGCGGCCTTGGGCTCTCTTGGAGCGCTCTTGGGCCGTCTTGGGGGGGAACCCGAAAAACATGCAAAAATCCGCAGGAAAAATCCGAAAACGGCCATTAACACTCAAATGCGTACGCTACCCCCCTCCCTTGGAACCCCTCCCTTTCGGGCTTCGCCCACACCAGAGCGTCATCACTCGTACCTCGCTCTTTCCGTTACCTGGGCCGGTACGGAAACGGAAAGAACGCTTCAACAACTTGACCGAAATCACTCACACCACCGTTCGTACTGGGAGCCTTGGCGTTGAGAGCTGGTTACGTCACCCCGCGCTCTTGGGCGCCTCTTGGGCCGCCTTGGCGCCTTCTTGGGCCGTTGTGGGGGCCTCTTTGGTGCCTCTTGGGCCGTCTTGGGGCAGTCTTGGGGGCCTCTTGGACCGTCGTCAACGCCGCGAAAGCCGAAAAGCTGTGTATGCTAAAAATGTACCTTTTCCCATCGGAAAGCAATGATTTTGGCCTCCTGATGGCCTCGTCGGACGCCTCTTGGGGCTTCTTTGGGGGCTGTGGGGGCCTCCCGGGAGCGTCTTGGGGCGAAAGGCTAGACTTTTCGGTTCGTGGTCCCCCTCTTGGGGCCGTCTGGGGGCCCTCTTGGGCCGTTGTGGGGGCCTCTTGGGAGCCTCTTGGGCCGTCTTGGGGCGGTCTTGGGGGCCTCTTGGGCCGTCGTTAACGCCGTGAAAAGCGAAAAACCGTCTATGCTAAAAATCTACGTTTTCCGATGGAAAATTATTGATTTTGGAGGAAAATCATTGAGTTTGGCCTCTTGGGGCCCTCTTGGGACGCCCCTTGGGCGCCTCTTGGGGGCCTCTTGGGGGCCTCTTGGGCCGTCTTGAGCTCTCTTGGGGCGCTCTTGGGCCGTCTGGAAAGAGAATCCGAAAAACATGCAAAAACCCGATGGAAAACCCCCCAAACGGCCATTAGAACTCAAACGCTCGCACTACGCCCCCCCCCTGGGACCCCCCCTTAAAAGGCTTCGCCCAACACACAACGTCATCGCTCGTACCTCGCTCTTTCCCTTACCTGGCCTGGCACAGAAACGGAAAGAGCGCTGCAGCAACAGAAACCGAAATCACTCACACCACCGTTCGTACCGGGAGCCTTGGCGTTGAGAGCTGGTTACGTCACCCCTCGCTCTTGGCCTCGGTGTCAGGAACTTGTTACGTCACCGCTCTCAGCTGGGAGCCTTGGTCTTATCAGCTTGTTTGCGTCACCGTTCGTTCTTGTGAGCCTTGGCGTGAAGAGCTTTTTGCATTACCGATCGCTCTTGGCGTCTCTGGGCCTTCGTGGGAATCCTATTGGGGCCCTTTTCGGGCCCTTTTGGAGGCCTCTTGGGGGCCTCTTGGGGCTTCTTGGGGGTCTGTGGGGGCCTCCTGGGAGCGCCTTGGGGCGAAAGGCTAGACTTGCGCTCAAGTTTTAGCTAGCTTAAAGGATAGCGCGTCGCGGAGGGAAGAAGAGAGGTCCGCAGTGGCAGGCAACCTGGTCGAATTGGCCAAGATTGCGTCCTTCGTCCGTTGTCCTTCGTACGTCGTCTGTCGTCGTCGCCACCCTCGTCGCCGTCGTCTGCATCGTCGTCTGCATCGTCGTTTGTCGTCCGAGGCGCTCTTCGTGGCCAAGGCTTGCTTCGTCTCGAAATTCTTGTCCAAACGCACCCCTGGGCATCGTTTTTTTTGCATCTTGGGCTGTCTGGGAAGCCTTCTGGGCGTCTCGGGAGCGTCGAGGGGGGGTTCTTGCGAGTTACGTAAGGCTTCCTGTTGGGCTTCCGGGAGCCCACGGCTGGAAATGTCCGTTCGGCCCCCGCCTGGACCGCTGCGCTGGGCTCTTGGGGGCCTCTTTTCGGCCTCCTGGGTGCTGCTTGGGGCCGCTTGGGGGCCTCTTGGGGGCCTCTTGGGCTCTCTTGGGGGCCTCTTGGGGCCTCCTCGGAGCATCCTGGACTGCTTCTTGAAGTCGTCATGGGACGGCATGTCTTCGGGGGACTCTGAGAAAGAGTTTTGAAACCTTTTGGGTGCCGTTTTGGGGTCTCTTGGAGCCTCTTTCGGGCTTCTTGGGGGCCTCTTGGGGCGGAGAGCTTGATTTTTCAGTTCGCGTTCCCTCTCTTGGGCCCATCTTGGGGCCTTCTTGGGGCCCTCTTGCGCCGTCTTGGGCGGCTCTGGGGCCGTCTCGGGGCTCTCTTGGGACGTCTTGGGGCCCTCTTGGGGGCCTCTTGGGCCGTCTTGGAGCGGTCTTGGGAGCCTCTTGGGCGGTGCTTTAGCGCCGGAAACACGAAACAGCGAGAATGCAAAAAACATTGAAAACAACAAAAATCAATGACTTCGCCCTCTCGGGGCAGTCTTGGGCGGCATCTTAAAAGCCTCTTGGGGCGTCTTGGGGGCCTCCGGGGCAATTTAAAACGCATTGTGCGTCGCCAGAGACCCCTGGAAGGCGTCTTGGGGGTGTCTCGAGACCGTCTGGGGCCGCCGGGATTGCTGTCTGAGGGCTCCCCAGGGCGATTCTAGGCCTCCCAGAGGCGGGCCCAGGCCCCTGCACACGCACACACACATTTGTGGTAAAAGTCGCGGTCCTGGGGGCCCGGGCCCCAATGCGCCGTTATATGTATACTTCCGCTGGACCTCCGCTGGCTTCCGCTGGCGGAGCCACCCCCGTTTTGCTTCCGCCGGCTTCCGCTACCCAACGCCTTCGATCCTCGAAGGCAAGGTCCTATACGACGACGACGACGACGACGACGACGACGACGACGACGACGACGACGACGAGGACGAGGACGACGACGACGACATGCGGCGCGGGTGGGGCCCGTCCTCTGCGCCCGCCGGTTCCCTTCGGGTCCCAGGCGCGCCTGGGGGGCTCCAGCTTGTGCTGTATGGCCGTCGCCTCGGGAGGGGGTCGGCGGGCCACCGCGGCCGCCGGGAGGAGCGACGAGGAGGGGACGGCACGTTCGCCGACATGGGGAGGTCGAGGCTGCCTTGCGAGGTGGCCGCCGCGAAGTGCGAGGCCGAGGCGACCGCCGTGAGGGGCGAGGCGAACGGTAGCACCAGTGTACCGCCTGGCAAGCAGGGGATGTTCGCGAGCAGCGCGTGCAATACGTCGTGTCGAGCTGCCACGGGGGGTGTCGGCTGGCACGGGGAGGCGATTGTGCCGCGTGCGAGCTGACGGCGGAGTCGCTGCTGTCGCTGCTGCCGTGCGGCTCCAGTGCCTTCTTGGCGCCGGCGCGTGGGATGGCTGGTGGGAGGCGCAGAAGAGTGGTGGCGACGGCGGCGAGATTCGAGTCGGACAGCTGGTGGTGGTGGTGGCGGGGGCGGCGCCGCACGACGGGCGGTTGAAAGCGAGGGCGCCCAGGGCGTTGGGGAGCGAGGCGCCCCGCGGCGGGAACTCCGCTCAAGCCCCTGCCCACCCTTCCGTAAGAAGTCCAAGTCGCGCGTGCGGAGACCCACTTCTGAAACCTTGTGCTCCAGACGAGGCATGCGCCCCAAAGATCTGCGCGGATCACCCGTGCGCTTGAAGAGAAGGGGGGGGGGGAAGAAGGGGGATGGCATTGGATTCGGAAAAAGCACGATGCACATCCTGACGATCATCGTGTCAGGGCGGCGACGGCGGCGTGGGCAAGACAGACGAGAGCCCGGCCTCCTCCTCCAGAGTCATCGGAAGCTTGGAGGCCTTGGCGGGCCGTGCGCCAAGGGACTCCTCCTCCTCCTCCTCCTCCTCCTCGTCCTCCTCGTCCTCCTCGTCCTCCTCGTCCTCGTCCTCCTCCTCCTCCTCCTCCTCCTCCTATTCCTCCTATTCCTCCTCCTCCTCCTCCTCCTCCTCCTCCACCGAGGAGGGATGGATGAATGTGGACGAGACCTCCTCGTCGCCCCGAGGAGGTCCGCCGCAGTGCGCGCGCGCTCCCGCCGGGTCGCCGTGCGCTGGCGCCAGAAGTTCGCCTCCGAGCCGCCGTCGCCGGCTCTCCAGCGCTCCACCCAGGCGTCCAGGAGGCGGGCCTGAGAGGCACCCTCCCCTTGCGCTCCTCCTGCTGCTCGCTCCTCTTCCTGCGCCTTCCTCCTGCTCCCTCCTCCTCCTCCTCCTCCTCCTCCTCCTCCTCCTCCTTCTCGTCCTCCTCCTCGTCCTCCTCCTCCTCCTCCTCGTCTTCGTCCTCCTCCTCTTCCTTCTCCTCCTCCTTCTCCTCCTCCTCCTCCTCCTCCTCCTCATCCTTCTTCTCCTCCTCCCTCCCTGGGCAGCGTGCTGGGGCAACCAGGCGCCGCGAGAGTGCCTTTGAGGACGGGCTCGACGCGGGCCTGGTCATGAAGAAAGCTTCGGCAATGCACTACAAGATGACCAGCGGCGGCGGCCACGAGGCAGAGGGGGCCCAGGAGGAGGACGAGGAGGACGAAGAGGAGGAGGGGGAGGAGGAGGAGGGAGAAGGAGGATGATGAGGATTCTAGTATTCTAGGTTGGCCTCGCGCGCGCCCCAAAAATGGACACGAAGTCCAAAACTATAAGAACAAGCAACCACATGCGGCAGCGGCGACGGCGGCGGCCGGGACGGCGCCGGCGACGACACGACAAACGACGGGACGCCTGCAGGGGCATGACTGGCGACGGCGGCGGCGACGACAGCGGCTGCCGCTCGCGCGGGGCGGGAGGAGGAGGAGGAGGAGGAGGATGAGGAGGAGGAGGAGGAGGAGGAGGAGGAGGAGGAGGAGGGGAGGAGGAGGAGGAGGAGGAGGAGGAGGAGGAGGAGGGGCAGCCCTCGGCGCTCCGCTTCGAGTGCAACGAGAAGCTGCTGGGCGGCTTGGGCGAGTCCGAGAGCTGCCCCGCCAAGGAAGGGGTCACCAAGCTCTGGCCGATCTTGGCGGAGGTGCACGGCAAAGGACGCGCTGCCCAGGACGCGCACGAAGCGGCCCAGCGGGAGCACGAGAAGGAGGCCTAAGCGCCGGAGCGGCCGCATCAGCAGCCGGTGCAGCACCCAAGGACTTGCCGGCGAAGATGAGGACATCCTCACCCACCACGGCAATATGTCGCCGCACCGTTTGTTCTCGACGCGCCCAAATATACGACGCCGACACCACCGCAAACCCACGGTAAGCCCTGCGTCCCGCGCCCCAGCAGACGACGCTGGCACCGCGGCGAACCCCACGGCAAGCCCACTGCACCCGAGGCGGCGTTTGCCCCAGTGGCCGAGGCGCCCTCCCCAAAGCGGAAGGCCGCGAGTCGGAACAGAGGATACTTCACGAATCATCTGGGCTCTCCGCCTTAACCGCGCAAGCCAAATCGAAACAAACAGAGCGAGATTGAGTAGCGTCGTAATTGAGTCGGAAGGAAGCACCTTCCCTTTAATCCCGAGGGGGGGCTCCCAAAGGGGTAGGGCGGGGGCTCCTGGGGGGGTCCCGGATCAGACTACCACCTTCCTGGGGGGTCCTGGGGCCCAAGGGGCCCCCAAGAAGAGCTCCCCGAAACTTCGTGGGGGTTCTTGGGCACCTCTTGGGGGCCTCATGTAGCCTCTTGGGCACTCTTAGGAGCGTCTGATCCCGACCTTCGCGAATGTCTCTTCCATCGTGGGGGTCGTCGTCCAGGGTCGGCGGCACCGGCCGTAAGGCCTTAACAATAATCTTGAGTCAGTGAGTCACCCGCAGTGTCGGGCGAAGGGGGGTGGAGCGGAACGCCAGATATTTTTGGCCTGAACTCCTGGAAGCGTTGCTGGGTCTCACGCTGTTGCTTCTTCTGCGCAGCATGCCCCGAGTGAACACTGTCGCCAACCTTTCGGTGCTGTTGTGCTTCTGCGTTTACGAGGAGTAGCTCCGCAGTCACTTCCCAAGTGGAGCGATCGCCCATCACCGCTGCGCCCCACATCCAGGCCGTCTTTGCTGGCCCCCTCGTCGTCCTCAACCTCCATCCCCGCTGGGCAATTTTCCGAGCCGCATCCTGACGTGGCGACGAAGGGGACCCCCGAAGGCCGGAAAGCGAGGCGAGGAGAACGACGGGCCCTTCATCATCTTTTTTCCCTATAAATGGCTCCTCCCTGTCGTACCCCCAGACGCGTCGGTAGGGCAGGCAGGGCGTTTTGCCTGAGACTTCCTCGCCACATGATCCTGAAGTTTGAAATTTGCAACAGTTTCCAGGAAGGAGGGCTGGTCCTCTTTGAAATGTGCCTCTCGCCCCAGCGCCGCGCACATTCATCTCTCAAGTTTGCACCAGTTTCAAGGGTGGAGGGCAGGTCGCTTTCAAAATGTGCTCTCGCTTGAGCACCGTGCGCAGTCGTCTTAAACGTTGCACCAGTTCAAGGATCGAGAGCGGAAGGTTTTCAATTTTTGGCTCTCGCCTTACAGTCGAGGCGTTGACCTAAGGAACCCTAAATAAGGAACGAGGCCCCTATTTTCCATAAGTTGAACGTCGATTTCGTATCGAAAACCTAAGGAAAATACAAGGCAAACTGCGAAACAATTAAGGAACACGGAGCCCCTCCCCAACGAAAAGGGTTCCTTCTTCAGGGCCCCGACTGTACCGCCGCGCGCATTCGTCTTAACAGTTTGTGGTGTTCTGGCAGGGCTGAAGATCGGACAAACGCAGCGGTTACGTTGATCCCCGGTGCTGTAGTCTAGAAATGACGTTCTGGCGCGGTTTCGGAATGTCAAGACGCAAAAGTCGGCTGAGCCGCTGCGTTCAAGTCCCAGGGGCGGTGTTTTTTCACGATTGAAGGTTCTTAGACAGTCGTATTCTAATGGTGCTTTTCTCGCAGTGAAGACAAATTCTGGTAGGGACCTATGAAGAGGGAGCTTGAAGAGAGTGTTTCACCGGTTGTTCCTCGTCATTTATGATCTGGAAGCTTGAAATTTGCAACAGTTGCACGGATGGAGGGTGGGCCGCTGTCCAGATGTGGATATCGCCGTAGCCCCACGCACATTCGTCTCAACAGTGTGCGACAAATTCACGGGTGGAAGGCGGGTCGCTTTGAAGCTGTGGCTCTTGCCTTTGCGCCGCGTGCAATTCGTCTTGACGCTTGCACCATTTTCACGGATGGAGGGCGGCTTGTTTTTACAATGTGGTTCTCGCTGCAGCGCCGCGCAAATTCGTGTTAAACGTGTGCGGCAGTTTTAAAGATGGAGGACGGGTGGTTTTCAAAATGTGACTCTCGCCATAATGCCGCGCACATTCGTCATCACAGTCTGCAGCAGTTTCAAGGATGGAGGGCGGGTGGCTTTCAAAATGTGGCTCTCTCCTTTGCGCCGCGCACATTTGTCTCAAAAATTTGCGACGGTTTCGAAGGTCGTATGGCCGAAATCCCAGGAATTGTGCTCTGGCACGATTTAGGGTTGTCAGGACGCAACGGTCACGTTGATTCGCAGTGTTGAAATCCCAGGTCACGTTGGTTCGCGGTGTTGAAGTCCCAGGAATGGCAGTCTGGCGTGATGTAGGAGTGTCAGCACACAACAATCACGATGATCGGCGGCACTGATGTCCCGATAGCTGTGTTTTGGCACGCTTGAAGATTCTGAGACGGTTGTCATTTAATGGGCCACTTCCCGCAATCATAATAAAGTATATCAGGGACCTGCGGAGAGGGAGCTTGGAGGGAGGGTTAATTGCAACATCGTTGATGCGTCTTGGCTTTACTCGGGGGCGCGCAAGCATGGATTAACGATCCATGGATTTGGCGCGCGGTCGCCTAATCCATGGATCGGGGGAGGTGCCCTCTCCCAAATGCGGCGGGTGACGCCTCGCTCGGCGGCGGAAACCCACGATTTCCCATGGATACGGGATCCGTCACTAATCCATGCCCCCTTGATCCATGTTCGCGATCGCCTGATTTACACTGGCCCTCTTACCTCCCCCTCTCCCCTCCTGGTGGTCAAAACCCTTGTCAGGGCCATGACCATGATCCTTCGCCAAGACCAGCGGCGGCGGTTGCGGCCCGGGCCTGGGTCGGAAGCGGCCACTCCAGCAGCTGGCACGTCCTTGGCGGGGGGCCACTCGCGGTCTCCGGTTGCGCCGCGCAGACAAGGAGGGCGGGGGTAATGGGGGAAGGGGTCGGGGGCGAGGCGGTGAGGTGGGAGGGGGTTGGAATGGGGGACGGGGGAAAGGAGGGGGAGTGTGTGTGTGGGGGGAAAAGGACCACGCAGTTGCTGAAAGCGATCTCACCTCCCAGCGCTTGGCCCTCGGCATGCCGCTTGAATTCCCTTATCTCTTGTTCGCGTTGAGTATTCTCCCCCAGCGTGGATGTGCCGTCAAGTGCGTGCACGTGGGGATTGGCGCGCCCGTGCGGCTGGCACGGCACTTCGTGACCAGGGAAACGGCCCGTTCAGCGCGCGAATGTGGCCGGCGTGGTATTGTTCGACGAGGAAGGCGTCCATTCATTGCGCCAGTGTGGCCCGCACTGTATTGTTTGTCAGGGGAAGTGCCCAGGAGTAAATGGGGCCTGGTCCAGAGTACGGTCAAACGTGAAAGTAACAATATTAAGGTTAGAGGTTAGAGGGGTGGTTGTGGGACGATAAGGCAAAGGGGGGCGGCGGGGAGGGATGAGACTTGGGGGAGGAGCGAGGAGAGGGAGGGAGGGGGAGAGGAGGGACGGGAGGTGGAGGAAAGGAGGGGGACGGGTGGAGGTAGTCGAAACGAATTTTCGCTTCGGCCGTTATCGTACTTGCAAGTCCAGCCGATGGGTTTTGCTGGATTGTGGAGCCCGCCGGAGTCCTTCTCCCCCTGGGAGGAGGGGATGATGGGAGAGGAGGAGGGGGAGAACAAGGAGGAGAGCGAGAGGTGAAGGATGGAGGTCCGTGCCAGCGGACCGCAGCCAGGCGGATGGAGGGAACAAGCGGGAGGGGGAGGCAAGGAAATCAAGGCTGAACACTGCACCCAAACGCGAAAATCGTCTTTGTCCTCCGTCATCCTCGTTCCAACCGTGTCTCGGGATGTAAGCGGCAAAAAATCAATACGTTATGGTTCTCGTTGTCTTTTTACGAGCATGAGTATGGAAGGCCATTGCCCAACATCCTTGAGGGCAAGGCTCTTCCCCCTCCCGGCCCCCGTGCGTCTTAGGCGGCTTTTTTTTGTCCAGCTTGGGCCTCTGGAGGTCCGTTCCGAGCCCCAGGGCTTGCAACAATAACTCTAGGTACCAAATCCATAAGAAAGATCGGGCTGAGAGATTCACCGCCCCACGCAATGAGAAAATCAGGATGGCGACAGCCTGGGCCTCGCACCGACAGGAGCTGAAAAGCTCGCAAATCGCTCATGCAGAGTTTGTGATACATGCTACATGATTTCCAATCTCTGCTCCCTCCCCTCGCCCTCTTCTTCTTCTTCTTCTTCCTCCTCCTCCTCCTCCTCCTCGTCCTCGTCCCTCTCCTCCTCCTCCTCCTCCTCCTCCTCCTCCTCCTCCTCCTCCTCCTCCTCGTCCCTCTCCTCCTCCTCCTCCTCCTCCTCCTCCTCCTCCTCCTCCTCCTCCTCCTCCTCCTCCTCCAACTCCTCCCCCTGCCGCTTCTCCTCCCGCCCCCGCTACTGCTGCTGCTCATTCATCGCGCCCTGCCTCCTCCGGGAGTGATTCAGAGGGTGCCAGGCCAGAGGATTGGACCACCCCCCTGCGTCTGACCCCCTTCTCCAGCCTTCGGAGAGGGGTCTTAGCGGAGGGGGCTGGCCTCGGCCCCCTCCCGCCACTGATGCTTCCGCCGCCGCTACTCCTCCTCCGTTGCCCTCTGCCTCCTCGCCGTGCCTTCGAAAAATCATGTTCCTCCTCCCTCTTCCTCCTTCCTCCCTCCTCCGTCTTCCTCCGACCTCCTCCGATCTCCTCCGTCCTCCTCCTGACTGATTCTTCCTCACAATCTATTCCAAAATCGCGCTGTCGCGCGGGACTTCTCCACAATTTATTCAAGCGTCGCGCCTCCAACCCTTAGCAATCACGCTGTCGCTCGGGCTTTTCTCAAGTTTCCTTGGGAATCGCGTTATCACTCGAAACTTCCTCGCGTTTCATGTTCACGCTTCAGCAGCCCGCCTGCTCGACATGGCCGCCTGGGCCCGCCTTCCCGACCCGCCCGTTAGGGTCTACCAGCCCGATCAGCCCGTCTGGTTCTGCCACGTGTTTTCTGCTCCTAGCCCCCTTCCTGCTACTCTCTCTCGTGCCACATCCACCTGCTTCCTTCTTCCATCCGTCCTCTCTTCTCCTGTTGTAAGGGCTGCGCCATCTACGCGCGGCAGGTAAGAGAAACATACCCCCAAAGGGGCTACGATTGAAGACGAACAGAGCGGGTACCGAGGGTTGGGGATATACGCGTTGAGTGACATGAAGCAGATAAGAGCGAGCAGTCTCAAAATGCTTGTCGTTGTTGATGATATTATGGTTGAACTTTCGTTTCTAACAAAAAATATGGTTGGTCCCCCTCGAGGGCACATGGATATTTTTAAGTTGAAGTGCCCTTCCAGGTGGCCGCGCTATTCCTCACAATGTATTCCCAAATCGCGCTCTCGCGCGGGACTTCCTGACAATGTATACAGGAATCGCGCTCTCGTGTGGGATTTCCTCGTAATTTATTCAAGCGCCGCGCCGTCGACATTCAAGAGTCACGCTCTCGATGTGGACTTCTTCACGATTTATTTGGGAATTGCGCTCTCGCTCGGGAAGTCTTCGCGATTCATGCACGACGCACGCTTCAGCAACCCGCCTGCTCGACCTGGCCGCCCGGGCCCGCCTTCCCGACTCGCCCGTTAGGGTCTATCCGCCCGATCTGCCCTTCTGGTTCTGCCACGTTGCTCCTAGCCCCCCTCCTGCTACTCTCTCTCGTGCTCCATCCTCCTCCTTCCCCCTTTGTCCCTTCCTTCCATCCGTCCTCACTTCCCCTGCCGTAGGGGCTGCACGAAGTACATGCTGCAGATAAGAAAAATATATACCCCCATGGGGGTACGATCGAATACGAACAGGGCGGGTATCGAGGGTTTGGGATCTACGTGTTGAATGGCACGCGGGCAGATAAGAGCGATCAGTCTTAAAATGATTGTTGTTGGTGTTGCTGCTGTTGCTGTTGGTGATGATGATGCTGCTGTTGTTGCTGCTGTTGCTGTTGTTGTTGCTGCTGTCATTGTTATTGTTTTTGTTGCTTTTCTCGTCATTTTCGGCCTCTGGGGGCCGGGTTCAATCCCCAGGACCGAAACAATAACCGCGGACGAAGAACTTGCCCCTGAAATGGGCGAGAGTTCTGGGGCCTGGGTATTGGAAGAAGTCAGGACGTTGCAGGTCGTCGATGCCGACGTCGTTGTCGTCGTCCTCCTCCTTCTCTTCCCTCCGCTCCCCCCTCCTTTCTCCTCCCCCTCTTCCTGTCACCTCCCCCTCCTCCTCTCATCCTCCTCCTCCTCCGCCTTCCCTTTCCTCCTCCTCCTCCTCCTCCTCCTCGTTTTTCTCCGCACCCCCCTCCTCGTTGTCATTCCCTTCCATTTCCTCCTCCTTTTCCTTCTCCTCCTCCTCCTCCGTCCCTATTCCAGGGCGGGCTGGGCGTTTCGCTTGTTTTCCTCGCCATTTATGATCCGGAAACTTGAAATTTGCAACAGGTTCACGGGTGGAGGGCGGGTCGCTTTCCAAACGTGGCTCTCGCATGGGGGCCGCTCACATTCGTCTCAAGAGTTTGCGACAGTTTCACGGATGGAGGGCGGGTCGTTTTCAAGCTGTGGCTCTTGAAGCTTGCAGCAGTTTCGCGGATGGAGGGCGGCTGGTTTCCACAATGTGGCTCTCGCTGCAGCGCCGCGCATATTCGTCTCAAACGTGTGCAGCAGTTTTAAGGATGGAGGGTGGGTGGCTTTCAAAATGTGGCTCTCGCCTTTACGCAGCGCGCATTCGTCTCAAAAGTTTGCGACGTTTCTCGGATTCGTATGGTCGAAATCCCAGGAAGTGTGCTCTGACACGGTTTACGGTTGTCAGAAAGCAACAATCACATCGATTCGCGGCGTTGAAGTCCCAGGAATGGCATTCTGGCGCGATGTAGGAGCGTCATGACGCAACCATCAGGTTGATCCGCGGCGTTGATGTCCCAATAGCTGTGTTTTGGCACGGTTGTGGATTCTCCGACGGTTGTCATTTAACGGGCCACTTCCCGCAATCAAAGTGAAGTATCTTAGGGACCTGTGAAGAGGGAACTTGGAGGGAGAGTTTATTTCAGCATCGTTGGTTCGTCTTGGGTTTACAGTGGTCCTTCTTCTCTTCCTCCTTCTCCTCCTTCCTCCTCCTCCTCCTTTTTCGATTGAGCAAACGTGGCGCACGAGGCACGTCGCGTTCTTCCTCCTCCTCCTCCTCCTCATCCTCCTCCCCATCCTCCTCTTCCTCTTTCATACCATCCTCCTCTTCCTCTTTTTCCTCCTTCTACTCCTCTTCCTCATTCGCCTCCCCCTCCTCCTCCTCCTCTTCCTCCTCCTCCTCCACATCCTCTTCCTCTTCCTCCTCCTTCACCTCATCCTCCTTCTCTTCCTGCCCCCCCCTCTTCTTCTTCGTTCCCTTTTCCCCCCTCTTCCCTCCTCCTCCTCTCTTTCCTCCTCTTTTTCCTCCTCCTCCTCCCCATCCCTTCCTTCTCCCCCCGATCTTGCTCCTCTTCCTTCCTCCTTCCTCCCCCTCCGTCTTCCTCGACGGGGAGGCGGGGGGGGGGAATGAACGAAGGAGGGGGAAGAGGGGGCGGAGGCGGAGGAAATGGAGGACTGGAGACCATCGGAGGACGAGGGAGGAGTAGGAGGAGGAGGAGGAGGAGGAGGAGGAGGAGGAGGAG